CCCCCGCCGCGCTGCCGGGACCCCCACTCTGCCCCCTGCAATAAAGCCAGCGCAGGGCCGAGGGCTGCTGGGCCAGTCCAGGGCTGGGAGTGCCCGGCTGCCCCCCACCTGACGCTGGACACACGGGTCCCCGGGCCTGGGAAGGGATCCCTGGGCAAGCGCCCCGGGATGTCCCAGGAGCTGCTGCTTGTACCCCAACGGGGGGAGGCAGGGGCACACCCTCATCCCAGCCCCTCCCTTGCCACACCGTGCTCCCCCCTCCCCGTGCTTCCTCAGCCACGGCCCCCAGCCACCCACCAGGGCCCTCCAGGGAGGTGGCGGGCAGCTCGGGGCCCCACAGACATGCTGTGACCATCCTGCTCGAACTAGTCTTTGACAAACTAATAAAATAAAGGGATTTGTACATTGCTCCAGCCTCTTCTCATCCATTGCTTCCCTGGGTCCCCATGTCAGCTCCCTCTCCCCACCAACCCCAGGGCTGACACCTGGCATATGGTAAGGCCACAGGGCCCACGCTGGGCAGCACCCAAGCCAGGCCACAGGTGTAGGGAGTGACCACATGTGGCTCCCAGAGTCCTGCTCAGTCCTGCTGCTCCCCACTCTGCAGGTGTCATCTCTGGGAATGGGGACAAGGCAAAAGGGACAGGTGCTGGTGGACCCATGTCCCACAGACATGGGACTGACCCAGGGACTTCCTTCACTGAATGACAGGGGATACCCTGGGGTACAAGGGCTGTTTTTGGTGGGTCACAGCCTTCTGTCCCCTAATAGACGGGTCTGAGGCTATGGGCATGGGGCACCTCCTGTCCCAGAAGCGAGGCAAAGGCCCTGGCAGTGCCCAGGCTTGGCACAGCCCTGGAGGCCTCAGCCTGCAGCCAGCCTCAGCCATCATTTGCCATCATTTACCACCGAAGAGCTCCACTGTTACCCAGGCGCCATCAGCAGAGCAGTCACCCGGAAAAGCTTCTGTCAGACTAAAATATGAAGGTAGAAAATGGTAGAGATCTTGCAGGCAAGGTCTCCACTGCAGGCAGACTGTTCCCTGTGACGGCACAGAGGGGGAGAAATCCCCACAGCCCTCCCTGGGGAGGCAGTGCCTGTCACCCCTGCAGGGGTGCGAGGAAGGGCTCTGCCCGGGGCTGGTGGCCGTGGCGTGGGACCAGCAGCGTGCTCCGCACATGCGGTGCTGCCGGGCAGGGCCCTGCAGGTGTCCCCCCACATCCGCTGAGCAGTGTCCCCGCTGTCACCTGTCGCCAGTGTGGAGGCACAGCGCCCTCTGGTGTGGTGACAGCACAGGACAGGGGGAGCGGGGACAGGCAGTGGGGACAAGGGGGACAGTCCCTCGACAGACCCCTCAGCCAGGGCCTTGCCATGGCCAAGAGAAGGAGGCAGGGGAAGGGAGAGCAACTCAACAACCCACTTCTCCCCCCTGCAAGGAGCCACAGACACCTTCGTTAAGGAAGAGAATTTATCAAAATTAGAAAAAAAACAAGTATTAAAAAAACTCAGCCCCAGCTGGGGAAACGTCTCCCAGCTTGCATCCCTTCACCATCCCCTCACTGCCCCAGCACAGGGAAGGGACATGGTATGTCTGGGAAGAAAAGGGGCAGGCTGTGCTCCCAGGGCTGCCCTCGCCACCAGGCTGTTGGGGACAAGGGGACAGTCACATAGCTTATCACTGCTGTGGAGACTGGTCAGAGGGCAGCTCCTCTCATGGAAGGCCCCTCAGCAGCCACCTCCAGCGACTGATTTTCTTTGGCCACTTGCCTTTGGAACAAGCTCCCCATGCTCCAGAGAGGAGGCGGCAGAGGGGGGGCCTGCAGCACCCCCATCATCCCCATCACACAGCTGCCTATTTACAAATGCTCCCAAGAGCAGGATGCACTGAGCCAAGCCCGAGGTCACAGCCCTGCCAGGCTGCCAAGGAGGGGAGCCAACTCCTTGCCCCATCTACACTAAGCTCCCACTTCCAAGAGTAGGCAGGTGTTGCCTCCCCAGGGGCAGCTTCATCAGGAGTCGTTGGGGAGCCCGAAGAGCTTGACGGTGCCAGCCTCCCGGCTGCTGTCGTATTTGCCATCTTTATCATCACAGGCGAAGGCCAGCAGTGGCCTCTTCGGGTGCCAGGCCACTGTGAAGGTAGGGGACTCACACTGCACCTCCCAGAGCTTCTCTCCTGCATGGAAAAGGGGCCATGTCAGCCTGGAAAGCCTCCACTGCTCGCTGCCCAAGTGCCAAGCACCTGCTTCTTCTCTCCGGCACTACTGCTGCTCCAGCGCCTTTTAATCACCCAGTGACAAGGCTCAGACATGACAAGCATGTCTGCCACCGACTAACGAGGCAAAGGCTCCCCCTCATGGCGCTCTGCTCTTCACAGCAAAGCTCTTCCTTAGCAGACAGATTCACCCACTGCCCTCCCAGCTCCACCAGCACTTCTCCATCTGATCCCTTCTTGCTCTTCCTCAAGAAAAAACCCTTACCTGTCTCCACCTCGGCAATGTCAATGAAGTGATCTTCTGATGCTGACGCCAGCATCTTCCCATCATGGCTAAAGCTCAGAGTCCGCACAGGCCAGTCAAGCCTGCAGCAACCAAGGGGAGCAGACAGTGAGCCAACCGCACATGGTCCCCAGAGAGGGGGCAAACAGCTTTGGGACAGCTCTACCTACCTGGAGAAGCACCTCACACATACCAGCTCATCCACATCCCAAAGGCTGACTAAGGCATCGGCACTGCCCGTGGCAAAATACTTCCCCATGGGATCAAACTTGATGCAGATGCAGTTGGAAGGATGGGCGTTGATGGACTGGATGGGTTTCAGCTCTGGGTAGCTGCAGAGGTGAAGGGAGAGGACAGGGAGCAGTGAGAGGAGCACAGGGATTGTCTGAAGCAGGGCAGGCACAAGGCACACCAGGACTGGGAGCAAACCCAGCCAGGGTAGGAAACACCAAGTGTCCAGTGAATGAGGCGAAGCATCAGGGTCCCTCTCAGGGAGCCCAGCCCAGAACTAGGGCAACCTCAGCTCCATTCCCACCAGAGGGCTGAGGATCACTAAGGTGTGGGACTCTAGTCTCCCAAAAGCAGCCAAGGCACTTGCAGCCTGACTGCAGTCAGCCCAGCCACTCGGCCCACCTGCAGCCACGGGCACCTACCTGAGGATGTTGATGCAGCCATTCCCGTTGGTGAGGAAGAACATGTTGTTGTCATTGTTCCAAGAGATCTCGTTCACCTCAAACTTGAACTGTTCCTCAGCTTTGGAGCGATGCGTCTTGGCATCAATGAAGGTGACCACATCATCCTTGTTCCCCACGGCGATGGTCTGTCCATCGGGGCTCCAGCAGATGTTGATGTTCTCACCTGAAGGGACAGAAAGGCAGCAGGTCCCATTTCCACTCCAAACCATTCCCAGATAAGAAAGACTGCCAGGCCTGCAGTGTAACACACAAACCCTGCATGGCAGCTGTCCAGCAAATACAGACAGTTACTGAAAATAAAACTTATGAGAAGTACAGCTTCAAAACAGTAGGACCACATCTCATTTCAGCCAAGATGGGACCACAGCAATCACCACACAAGGTCAATCCAAAGATCCTCTAGATCCAGTGATCTTTGAGATCCAGAAAAAGCAGAAGCCAACAACAAATACCTTTAAATGAGGACAAAAACAAGGCAAGTTGCAGTTATGCCATCTTACAATGCCATTTCCAACCCCAACAATTCAAAATTTGATATTTCCAAGGGCAGAGGTGGTATCTGGGTTAGGCAGTGCATGAACTCAAGTAGTTGTTTTTCTGAATCCACACAAACTTTTACTTCCATCATAGCTCCCTGTAAACATGCTTTTTCCCCAGTCTCCAGCCTCACAGCCCACAGACTCCAGAAACAAGCACACAGAACATTTTAATGGTCAGCACTGTATTTCAGGAGTTTCTCCAGTCCCTACTCCGCAGTAAATAAGCCCTTATATGATGACTGCAACCCAAAGATAAAGCAGCCAGCAAAAGGTCCAAAGCTCTGTGCCGCTGTGGGTGGGTCCCACACAGCTGAGGTCCTGCCGGGACCCACCTGGGAAGCCCCCTGGGAAGGCAGGGGCTCACCTTTGGTGTTCACAGTGGCAATGCACTTGGTGGTGCGGACGTCCCAGATGCGGATGGTTTTGTCCCCAGACGCTGTGACAAAGAGGTCAGGGTTGCTGGGGTGCCAACAGAGCTGATCCACGCTGTCTCCGTGGCCCCGGTAGTTGTTCTCCTTCACCTGGGGGGAGAGGACAGCCGTCAGCGTGAGGATGCGCCTGGTGCTGCTCCCGCTCCTGCCCCACATCCCAGCACACTGCATC